TATTATTATTATTATTATTATTATTATTATTATTATTATTATTATTATTATTATTATTATTATTATTATTATTATTATTATTATTATTATTATTATTATTATTATTATTATTATTATTATTATTATTATTATTATTATTATTATTATTATTATTATTATTATTATTATTATTATTATTATTATTATTATTATTATTATTATTATTATTATTATTATTATTATTATTATTATTATTATTATTATTATTATTATTATTATTATTATTATTATTATTATTATTATTATTATTATTATTATTATTATTATTATTATTATTATTATTATTATTATTATTATTATTATTATTATTATTATTATTATTATTATTATTATTATTATTATTATTATTATTATTATTATTATTATTATTATTATTATTATTATTATTATTATTATTATTATTATTATTATTATTATTATTATTATTATTATTATTATTATTATTATTATTATTATTATTATTATTATTATTATTATTATTATTATTATTATTATTATTATTATTATTATTATTATTATTATTATTATTATTATTATTATTATTATTATTATTATTATTATTATTATTATTATTATTATTATTATTATTATTATTATTATTATTATTATTATTATTATTATTATTATTATTATTATTATTATTATTATTATTATTATTATTATTATTATTATTATTATTATTATTATTATTATTATTATTATTATTATTATTATTATTATTATTATTATTATTATTATTATTATTATTAACTAGTATCGACAAAAAAAAGCGTTTAATTTATCTGTTAAAAAAGGTTAAGTACAAAAATGGTAGATGGTAAACGTTTAAAAAATCAACCAAGACGAAATTTAAACGGGAATTATAAACGAAGAAAACATATTGTAATATAATGTAAATTTATACGAATTTAATTTAAATAAACCTAAACGTATATTTAGGCCCACTGTATATATAAATAGTTCATCGCAAACTAAAGATAGTCGTATATTGTTAACTATATTTAAACGTAGATAAATTTACAATTATATACCATAGGATGTATATAAAAAACGTATAATATATCGTTTAAAACACGGTATGTATAATAATCGTAAACTGTAAACGTATACGGAATCAACCAATACCAAAATTAAACGAGTATTACGTATAAAATACGTTAGTTATACTAATGTGTGCTGTCTGGGAAGTTATAATAATATTATGTAATACAATACCTAATACAAATTATTCATACATTATATTACAATATGTTTTCTTCGTTTATAATTCCCGTTTAAATTTCGTCTTGGTTGATTTTTTAAACGTTTACCATCTACCATTTTTATACTTAACCTTTTTTAACAGATAAATTAAACGCTTTTTTTGTCGATACTAGTTAATAATAATAATAATAATAACTTGGAGATTAAATTTAAAAAATAAATACTATATTGTATTCTCCTAGACAAAGTAAAATAAATCTTAGTGCTTTCTGGAAAGAAAACATTTTATGAAAATATAAACTAGTCCAAAGAGTTTCTTGTATCTTAGTAATGAAATGAATTATACTTATAGAATGATTATGTTGCAAATATTTTATAATTCTTTTTATAATTCTTCCTAGTGAATGTAGTGAAAAACAGAGTCTAGAAGAGATTTATAATTATAATATGCACATACTGGATCAGAAAATTCAAGTTGTTGCACCGACATTGCTCCAGAAGCTATAGAATAGGTTATTCAAATTATAAAGAAGACATCTATAAAAATGCACAAATTTAGAGACAAAAAGTTGTGTTAAAAATAATAGACACATTTAAAAATTCCCGTTTTAAAAAAAATATTTGTCACATATTTTGGAGATTATTAAAATATCTAAATTCCAAAAACTTTAAAAAACATGTTAAAAGTTTATAAATGAGAAGTGTATTAATCTAGAACAAGTCAAAGGGGGTTATTTTCTAACTTTCAGCTGAAAATGCATATCAACGGAAGCGTCAAGCAGACTTCTCAATAAAGTTCGATCATCAAAACGACAAGCATGTGATTATGGTATTCTCTAATGCTAGACGATTTTGCTATTCGTATGTGATTTTAATTTTTGTTGTAATTGTCATAATAATTATAAATTGTAAATGCTGATTTGTCTAAATATCTAAAGTTAGTATTTGAATGTCAATTTGACATTATTACAATTATAAACTCAATTAGAATATATTAAGGCCAAATTCAGAATTGTAAGGAATCAAAAACAATAAACATCATACATTTGCTGACATTTTAATATTCAAGTCATAATATTTAGATATATATTTTAATGTTTGACTTATCTATTTCCGAAAATAAATTTTTTTGAATGCGCTTTACTTTTTTCAAATACGAACAGCACAACAAGTAAAGAATACCAAAACGTTTGTGCTTTACACTTTTGCTAGTTGTCGAGTTTATGGAGGGAGCCGAGTGTTTCAAAAATGCTGGTTAGACAATAAGTCCCCGTTTTAACTCAGCGAATTAGAAGAAGGTTTCAATCTAGAATATCTGTCAATATTCGCTTCTAACATATTTATTTAAGAGACCAAAAATTACATGAGTGAAAATGCATCAGAAGCAGTTGAGGTACCTATGTATCTAGTATTAAAATAAAAATAATTCAATTTGGTGACATACATTTAAATATAATATGTAGCCCATGCACAACTTCGGTTCCTATGGGATTTCCATTATATTTCTTTGAAAATAGACACTCCACTAACCAATTTTATCCTTTTTTATTTATAATTACCACTTTTGATACTTTTATATTGTATTTTTTTAATAATTTTATATTGAATTTTTATAATTTAATTCTTGTATTGTTTTTCAATTTGCGTTAATTGTATGTTAATACATTTTTGGATGAAGCATAATTGAGTCATATATAAAACATTTTTATCACACACAAGTTGTACATAGACAAAATTTAATTTATATGATTTATTAGATGTATACAGGAGGTTTTTCAGACATTATACATACCATGTAGGAATAAACTAGCTATTTTACTATGTGTCTATTTTACTATTATTTATTGATTAGATGAAGTAGAAAAAAACTAAAAATAAGGTTTTTGAAATATTTAGGTTTTGTTTTTTACAATAAAATATATAGGTTACCGTGGAATTTACTGAGAAATTATTATTAAAAAATCACAAAAAATTTTCAACTAGGTTAATTGAAAATTTTTTGTGATTTTTTAATATTAATTTCTCAATAAGTTCCACGGTTTACTATATATATTTTATTGTATAAAACAAAATCTAAATATTTCAAAAACCTTATTTTTAGTTTTTTTTTACTCCATCTAATCAATAAATAATAGTATAATTCGAGAATTGTTGTTGAGGACTTACTTTCTCGTGAGGCACTGTACAAATACTCACATTTTAAAAAAAAAATGCTCAAAAATTTGCAAGGTAAGGTATAGTTAAAAGTTCAGTATTAGATAAATAAGGACTTCAACTATTAGAAAAAAATCAATTTTAGTCATAATCTAATAACTTTTTTTTTTAACATTTGAGGCGAGAGGTGTGGCGAAAGGACCTCCTTAATATCAATTGTTTATATTGTCATTTAATCAAAACATTTTCAGATTTGGTAAAGTGGTAAACAAAAAAGAAATAGAAATTTAAATAGATGCCTGGTTGTAGAGGGCTCCGGAAATAAATAGACACAATGAATCAAAACGTTATAAATAACAATTTTAATTTTTTTGTCAATTTTTTTTAATAGATTTATGAAAAAAGTAATAAATTTTATTATCCTACTAAAAAAGACGTTTAGGTCATTTCTGGAACGTTCCAACAATGGTATAAAAACTTGCCTAAGACGTTTGAGCAACATCGCAGGATGTTCCACAAACGTCTTTCTGAAACGTCTCTAATACGTTACAAATGATGACATGGTCATTGCCAGAAACATCCCAGATACGTTTGAGGGAAAATTAGAAACATGACAGAGATGTTTCTAATGTCCCAAGTGCATGTTTCTATAACGTTCGTGAAACAATACTGTGCTATTAGGGTAAAGGTTTTATTTATTTTCAACATTTTTTTTTAAATACTACAATATGATTAAAAAAAGAAAATATTTGATGTTTTCAAATTTTAATTCGTTTTTATACTGTGAAAGCATAAACGAAATGTAATATCTTTTCGATCCATCTATGAAAGCAGGGATGAACTAATTATTGAATATTTTCGGAAAGTGAGGACGCCATTTTTGGTCCAAAATTTTTTTAATAATGGATTACACATAAAATGCAACCCAATTTTTATTTATAACTATTTCGGAGGTCTGGGCCTTTTCGTATTTTCCAATGAACGATTTGATAGGAAAATATTTAATTTAGGTGGTTCAAGGTTTCATTTTTAGAAAATTTATTGAATTTGTAGTTTATTCTTACAATAAAAAAGGTCTAAAAATAGGCCATTTTCTACCATACGTTTTTAATTAAAAACAATTAAATTAAAAAAAAAATCAATGGCTGAACCACCTAAGTTGGACCTTCATCTACAAAAAAAAAATAGTACGATATACGGTATAGTTACGGAAATAGTTACAATTAACTGTTGGTCTGCAGACGCCTTTCTAATGCACAAGGATACTCTCTTCTTAAAGTCAGAAACTGTTTCACAAAGTTTCATACACGTAGACAATTAACTTTTACTGATACTGATGAATAAAGTTTTACCTTTTTTTATTTTCACATAATTATAAAGAAGTAATTTGACAACAAATTTGTGCACAAAACAGGCTAAATGATTTACTGTGGAAAAATTAGGATTTTAGTAATATTTTTCGAGCTGTGATAGAGAATGAATGGATTCATATTCAATATTTAAAATTCTGTTTCTATCATTCCTCTATCTATGCTAGTTCTGTGTGTAAAAATAAAGAAACTTTTTGTATAATAATTATTTTAATATTTTTAAGTAGTATTTATTTACAAATAATTGACTGTTAAAGGGCTAAGTTGGAATATCTCCCTCCAAAAATTAATTCTTTCTGGTTCTGGATTTTTATGCAAAGTAAGTTCTTCACCAATATCTAAATAGTTCATTTCTTTTTCACTGATCGCCTCCCATAGAATATTTAAATTATTATCGTCTGGTGTAGGATTTCCGGTTCTAGCAAAATTAGTCCATAATTTAACGAAATATTGCACGACTTTTTCCTCAAGAGGTCCTTTTCGTAAAAATCTAGCAGCCATATGAACATCGAAAAGGTAGCCCAGATCATCAGCATGACAAACACCTTTAAGAAAATCATACAGCAAAAATTATATTAAAAAAATGTTTGATTAGATTATCTCGCATAAGAGCCCACTGCAAATTTTGAACATCATCTGATAACGAAATAAAATATGCCTCGAAAGCATGTAAAAACATTGTTACTTCACCAAATGGCACATGTGCCAATCACTAGGCTAAGCAAAGTATTAAAAAATATATATTTTATAGTAAAAAAAAATAACATAAAATATGACTTTCTTCCCCTTAATATCGACCAAAAACATCTATTCATGATTAATATAGACCAGAGCTTACTGGCGCATTCGTTTACAAAATTGTTTTAATTCGTATTTTTTTTTTTAATGTCCGGAAGGCTTTCCTTATTATAAAAGTGTAAGATGACACTCGATATCTGTTGATGTTATTGTTTAAACAACGAAAATTTAATTAGGCCAGAATTTTTTGTAATTAATTAATTTGTTTTATATTCTTTAGGATATTTCGAATAAAAAAATTCCTTACGCCCATCATCGTATCTTTAACCCTTTAATTGTTATGAATGTTTTAAAATCCGAAATTGACGGAAATTCTAATTTTCTTGAAATAAATAATATACCTTAAAATTTAAAATGCTATAATTTTAAATTTTTTACCGAATATTCAAACTATAATAAACAAAATCCTAAATAAATTTTAAATTTTTGTTTTTTGTTATGTTTTTTGTACGTTATAACAATATGCTTCCTACGCGCGTGTACTTTTAGAGAGAAGTACTTCTATCTCACTTCCAACTCAATGTATAAGATGGGTAAGAGAAAGCCCGATGACGCGCTAAATCAATTTTTTGCTGTTTTTCAGCGGTTAATAAGTTTAAAAAAATTATTATTAACATTTTTAATAACACTTTGTTATATTTTCCGATTAATAGTTTTGTATCATGTGATTTTTTTTACTTTTTGAGATACTTTCGATAACTTTTTCATTCATTAAAGTTAATAGAAATGTTCCATCCACAAAAAAATCATTGCCAAGAGCTGTCTAAAAAATAATTTTTTCTCACTTTTTTTCCAATAAGATAAAAGAAGACAAACATACCTGCCGTAATTCAAGGGAAATTTCTACCTGTTACGATGAGCATAGTTGATTCACCTGGTTTTTATTTTAAAACAGAGTACGCAATATATATATGTATTCAATTTTTTCTATGGTTGTTAATTCTTTTCCATTATGATTATTTAATAGTAATATTCATTTATTAAGAAAAATTTTACATAAAATTATAGTTTGTACATCTAACTAGTTTTTACATGAAATTGATTTTGGCAACATTCAATTAAACATCCGCATAATGCCACACACGTCATGTTTAGTTTTTGACATGAACAAACTTTCGTTGCACAATTTTTTTTACAGTTGCACGGTTTTGCTAAGTCTTCAGGTAATGGCGGTTTTGTTAAATACAGTGGCTTTGTTTGGTTATCACAGAAACCAGAGAAATCTAAAGGTTCATATTGAAATTATTTGAATTCCTCCAAATAAAAGTCTGGAAGGAAGCTTGTAAAGTATGCAATTTCAAAGCATCCGACATGCATGGAAAAAATTTTTTTTCCTTATTTTTGTTAAATAGAGAAATGCTTGGATATTTTTGAAATCATAAAATTTTATAACCCCAGTAAGCCTACTATGTGCATTGTAACAGGTAGAAAGTGTATTAAAAAAAAAAGGTTGAAGAAGATTTTACTTCTCAGGCAGTATCTGACAATAATTTTTTCATGAATAAAACTAAATGTTAAAAATAAATGTTTCTGTTAACTTTAATAAATAAAAAAGTTATCAAAAGTGTCTAAAAAAGTAAAAAAAATCACATGATACAAAACTATTAACCCCCAAAGTGTTATGAAAAATGTTAATAATAATTTTTTTAAACTTATTATCTCTGAAAACCAAGCAAAAAATTGATACAGCGCGTCATCGGGCTTTCTCTTACCCATCTTATTCATTGAGTTCAGTGAGATAGTACTTCTCTCTAAAAGTACACGCGCGTAGGAAGCATATTGTTATAACGTTAAAAAAACATAATAGCAAACAAAATTTTGAAAATTTATTTAGGTTATTTTGTTTATTTTAGTTTGAATATTCGGTAAAAAATTTAAAATTTTAACATTTTAAATTTTAAGGTATATTATTTAATTCAAGAAAATTAGAATTTTCGTCCATTTCGGATTTTAAAACATTCATAACAATTAAAGGGTTAAAGATACGATGATGGGCGTAAAGACTTTTTTATTCGAAATATCCTAAAGAATATAAAAAAAAATTAATTCATTGCAAAAAATGCATTTTTTCTGGCATAATTAATTTTTCGTTGTTTAAACAATAACATTAACAGATATCGAGTGTCATCTTACACTTTTATAATCAGGAAAGCCTTCCGGACATTTAAAAAAAAAATACGAATTAAAACAATTTTGCAAACGAATGCGCCACTATGCCCTGCACTATAAAATGACTGTTTTCGTTTGATGTGACAATAATTATTCTAGATTTTTGTTGGTAAAATAGGATATATTAAGATGTCTTACTGTTTTCTCTGATTATGTAAAAAGTTAGAACAATATACAAATACTATTATAACAAAATAGATATATACCTTTACTTAAACACACAATTAGTCAACTCAATTGTACGATAATTTAAAGCATAAATCCAGAAAACTTTAAAAATGTGTTTAAATGTGTTTTTACTATACAAGGACATAATTATTAAAAAAAACTGGACACATTAACATTGACGATAGGTTTTTATAATTATATTATACAAATCACAACGAACTACACAAAATGACATTATTAATAATTTAGCAATAAAAAAGTTAAGTACAATGATTACATTAAAAGTTGAGTTTCTCGAAATACTTTTTTTAAATTGTCTCAGTACCTACCTAGTATTTTTCTAGCACAATGATATTATATGAATGTGCATTGTGTAATATCTTATATTTTAGGAATAAAATGATATATTTTTTTTGCAGATTTCTGTTAACAACAATTCCAAGAACTTTGAAAATATTATTGAAACGGCCTTTGCAAATATAATTCTCAATTAAGAGCATTTTGATCTAACATTAAATTTTTATTCTCCATAAGGTTACAGTTTCCTAAGAAGAAAGTTTAACAAGACTTACCAGACCCAAAATATCATAATTTTACCAACCAATTGATGACTACTAGTTTCCATAGGAAAATTCTCCTCGAAACTACTAAAAGAAAAGTGGCAGAGGCAACCGAAGAAGGCAAAAAAGTCTTTTGCAAATAAAAAACTAGAAATTTGTTTAAGAATCTAATTATTGTTTGAAGTTTTACCATTAATAATTTTTGATAACGATTTAAGATTATAAAGTTCTATTATGTATTTTACTCTTTGATAACCTATGTTTAAATTTTTATTAGGACCAAAATAAATTATAATTTTCATTTCAACTACAAAAACCCTCATAATATTAAAAAGGGGAAAAACGTTAGATTAGTTATGTTCAGGAATAAACTCTTTAAACATTTATCTACTTAAAATGTGTTACTTTTAGAAGGTATGTTATTAACTTTCTATTTGTACTTGTATTAATTTATTTCATTTTATTATCTGTTGTATTTTCAAATTGATTTTGATATTCACATATATGTTTTTTTCATTGAAACAAACGTTTATTAGCTTATTAAATATAATTAATTCATGTTGTTTTATTATATGCTTGTATGAATGATTACTTTTATTTCCTTTTAAAAATGAATTTCGAAGAAAAAGCTGAAACGGTGAGTGAGAATAAAAAATTAGACGAAAGTGACGATATTTACTGGAGCTTTCATCTACACGCTCCTTTTTCTAGCCATCTACACCTGAGCCAACAAGATTCATCTTCCCTCCATCCTTACATTCTCCAGATTTACAGAGATAACGCCGTCCTCTTTAACATATCCAGACCTTCTTTGACAGGGACTATACCACTACATTATCAGCTTTATTTGTTATCCCGAGCAATTTAAATGCCTTCGGAATTTCTCATTCTCACCTCTTCTCTTGTAGATTCCGTACTCAATTTTCTTATTTTTATTTACGTTTGCACTGCTCTTTTATTTTCACAGTTTAAATTCTATAATGCTGTAACGCTACAATATGGATCCATTTTTGTGGTTTATACTATTTAATATTATTCGTAAGTAATCAACCTATTAAAATAATTAAAGATTATTGTATTACAGGCCTGAAGATGTTCCTGTAAGGCCAAAACTAGTCGCTCCTGAATTTATTTATAATAAAATTGATTCTAAGGTTTTATTCTTCAATTGAAAAAATTAGACCTTTACAGTGATTTTGTTTCATTTCCTGCATTAGACATACATAAGACGGTATTCATTGTAAAATTAGCAAATCTTTTAGTTTTTTTTACAATTAAAACGTTTGGACAATGTGTGTTTTTATAGATAAATGATACGACACTGAACAAGAAGGATGTTTACCTTCCCCCTTGTGCCCGCTTCCTCACTTCCTCTACAGATGTTGCTAACACAACAATCGCCTACAAACTCGTTTTCACGCCCCCTCTATTAGTAATTGCTCGGAGGAAATTACTCTATATTTATGTGGGTATGGCAGCCCGGGGTGTCATAGGACGATCGCCCTGTAATTATGTGGGCATGGCGGCCCAGGAGTGTCTTATAGGAAGAGCACCCTGTAATTATATGGGTAAAAATAAGTTAAGGGATATGAACATAATGTAAGTTTTAGTATTGTTTGATGTGTGACATGATAAATGAAAAATATAAAATGCAATAAAAATGCAATATAGATTTATTTGAGCCACCCTGTATAAAGAATGTGGTAAAGATTTAATGGAGTAAAATATGTTGAAGAAAAATATAAATACAATGTGAAACTGGATTTATAACATTATTTTCAAGATGGAAAATTGTAAAATTATATGGTAGCCCGAGTGTCCTATAGGAGGAATCACCCTGTATTTATGTG